CCCCCGGACCGACAATATTTGACAGCGGGGGGTTGACGATCGGTTGAGGATCGTGTCCTGGGATTTGGTTCTTGGCGAGAAACCCGATTCGTGTCTTTAGTACAACTTGGTCTTCCATGAAGGCGGCACAACCGTCTGCGAAGGACAGTGCGCCTAGCTCTGACCGGCGCCTACCTGAGGCGAGGGCCAGTAGGAAGACTGTTTTGCTTAGGGCTGATAAAACAACCGACAGGTCCCAATTGGGCGGTTCCCTTGAACGGGCCCTGGGCCTCTGATTATGGAAAGCAGTAAACAGTCTCCTAATAATGGGACAATCGGCTAAACTTGACGCCAAAGAGTTTTTCTATGGCAGGGGACAAGGCTGACCTGTAGCCAACGATCGCTGCGTAGGACAGACCCACTTCATCAAACAAGTGGACAAAGAAGTCTGCTACCTGGCCGATAGAGGGATCAATCTCCCTTCCACTACACCAACCGGTGTATGCTCGTCACTTTGAGTCGTAGGCAGTGTTGGTGGAATCTCTGTTCGCCCTGGCCAGGACGTTGGCAGCCCGCTTAGATAGACCTTTCGTCTGCGCGAGTCTACTGAGAGCCTCCATGCGTGTAAGTGGTACACTGCAGGGCTTGTTGGTAGTGTGCCGTCCGGCTGGGACAGCAAGTCCGGTATGTCCGGCAGTACTATCGGTGTTTCGACTATCATTTCCAGCAGGAGCGGAAACCAGGCCTTGGTCGGCCAATTGGGCGCCACCAGAGTTAATATGCAGGTGGGCTCTTGTCGAAGTTTCTCCAGTACCCGGTGCATTAGCGGGAAGGGAGGAAAGGCGTATGCATCCATGTGGGACCAGGGGATCGATAAGGCGTCCATGGCCCATGCTCCTGGTGTCGGCAGGAGTGTTACGTACGTCAGGAGCTTGGCGTTCCAGGGTGCAGCAACAGGTCTATCTTTGGACTGTCCCACAGCTGAAACAGTCTGGAGGCTACCCACTGGGGGATCTACCACTCCGTGTTCTGGAGACGGAGACGCCTCAAAAGGGCATCTGCCAGGCAGTTTCTCACCCCTGGAAGGTGGTGTGCGGTTAGCTCCACATTGTATTCCAGGCACCAAAGGAGAATTTGCTCTGCTAGGACCGACAACGATGGGGAATGCGTCCCCCCTCCTTGTTGATGTAGGAGACCACCACTGTGTTGTCTGTGCGGAGCAGGACTCTGTGGTCTCGAACTTCAGGTCGAAAGTGTGAAAGTGCTAGTTGCACTGCTTTCAGCTCGAGCCAGTTGATATGGTGGTCCCGAACCCATTGCGGGGGCCATATTCCTTGGGCTTGTTTGTCCAATAGATGTGCTCCCCACCCTTGGAGGGAGGCGTCTGTTACCAGAGTCATGGTTGTGACGAGTGGGTCCAAGGGGACCCCTTGTCTGAGGTTGGTCAGTGACGACCACCAGGACAGGGTTTCCTTTACTTGGTCTGGGATCAATACCCGTCTGTTTAGTTCCCGTAGGTGAGCTTGGTATTCCAATAACAAGCGTTGGACCGGGCGGCTGCATAGTGCGGCCTGGGGAACTACCCTTCGAACCAGTCGTCTAGGTACGGATTGATGTGTACCAACATTTGGTGGAGCAGCAGCACTACCTGATTCATCACTCTGGTGAATACGTATGGCGCTGTGGATAACCCGAAGGGGAGCACCCGAAATTTTAATACTTGGCCCAGATGAGCGAATCGAAGGAGAGGGCAATTCGCTGGGTGCACCGGTATGTGCAGGTAAGTGTCGCGTAAGTCTAAAGAGGCGAGCCAGTCGAGCCGGTGGATGGAGAGTAGGACACTGGATGGTGTCTCCATGCGGAACCGATCGAGAAGCACATACTGGTTTAGTCTGCTTAGGTCCAGAACCGGACGCCAGCCGCCTGTAGATTTTGGTACTACGAATACATTTGAGTAGAAGCCCGGACTTAGTGCCGGCTGAACTATTCTGCGTATGGCGCCCTTCCTTAGCAAACTGTCTACTTCTTGTCTGATTGCTTCCGCCTTGCAGGGGTCCCCTGGCAGTGCCCCCTACGGGGGTGGGGGGTGGGGGGGGGTGGGTGGGTGGGTGTCCCAGTGGTATTCTGTAACCGCGTGTGACCACCTGGAGCGTCCAGGGATCGGTTACCCGCTGCATCCAAGCCGGAATGCACCGGCGCAATTTGCGTGCGACAGGGATCTGTGGGCATGGGTTTGGCAGTTGCATGAGGGGGGGTTCTCCTCTACCGTGAGGTGAGCCTCCCCGTAGATCACTGGGGTTACTAAGCGTCAAACATGCTTACCCCACTGCCGGGGATGATGACCACCCGTGGAGGAGGAGCCACCACCTGGTCCTCTCTTTCCTGGGGGCGTGCCGCTACCCTTCCCTCCCGCGGATGGGTACGAGCGCTTGCCTCCTGGCTGACTCTGTTTAGCGGAGCTAGTCCTAGGGCGTTGTGCTTTCTGTGCTTGGAGCGCCCTCCGTTTACCCTTGGCAGCGTCCAACTTGCTAGCGGATTCGACTTGGACCATTTGGTTTGTTACATCCCGAAGCTCTGCGACTGCCCGCGCTATCTCCCCATCAAAGAGGGTGGAGGATCTCCAGTCTCGGTAACTGAGGCGGTGGCGTACCCCCTGACTCAGTTCGCCGGCGAAAACACGCGCGTCTAAAACCGCGTCTCGCTGCACAGTAGTAGCTCCGGCCAAGAGAGCCATATGACACTGGAGGATATCGCACATAGCCGTACGGTGGCCTACCATTAACTGTGTTGCCTGGTCTAGGAGGCGAGTGCGTTCTGCATCTGAGGTCTCAGAGTCCTGTGTGCGCACAAGAATGCGCTCCAGTGTTGCGCCCACAAATTCAAGGAAATTGATGAGTCGCAACTCCGCTCTCAGGGCATGTTGGATAGTCTCAGAATGGGTCGATGAGAATGACCATGAAATGCGGCCATCCCCCTTCACCCGGTTGGTAAAACAGAAGTTTGTGGTACCAGGGAAGGAGCCTTGGGGTCCGGTCTGGGACTTCTGGTTTCGTCCCGGAATTGGGGTCCGAATCCGAGATTGCCCCGATGGGGTAGCGTTTAGTCCAGCGAAAGGAGTTATGCAAAAGATTACCCCAGCCCGGGGCTTTCGGCGTTACCTCCTCCACGGCTGACCAACGACCGACCCTCAACACCGTCTGCGCGCCGTCCCCCATGCTCAGCGCTCGGCTGGATCAGGGGAGACGTGCGGATGGGGTCGATCTGGAGCCGGCGCCTGTGATCCCATCAGCGTAGAAGCGACTGTAAGCGGCTGCTTTAGGATCGAGGGTGGGGGAATATACATAGCGTCACCTGGACTGATAATATTACGCATCACCCCAACGGCGTGGCTCACCGAGTCATTACGCAATGTGGACTATGAGGGACCGCCCGAGGTACCCACTGTATCCGACGCGAGTGAACTGCCACCTCTCAGCCTAAATATGTGGGCGAGAGCGTGTTCAAGAGTGCGTCTCATGACAGGGTCGGTTCTCTGGGAACGCCTGTGGGTCGGCAAGAAGGGAGTCGAAACCCACAGCGGAACTCGGACTTGAGGGTAAATTAAGCAGTCCGGTACCACGCGGTGAACCCTGGCTGGTTGATAGCGGGGGGGAGGTACAATGTATGTCCTGACCCGAATGCCCTGCCCCGAAAACGGAGTCCTGGCTACCAGCGTCCCCGTTGGTATTACGTGTCTGAGGTTCCCAACAGGACCTGATGCCACTAGCCTGAGCCTCGGCCTCCCCAAAATCAGCTCGGGACACGGCTGGGACTGTGGAGTTCCCCGGAAGAGACGTGTTTAGAATGCGAACGGTGCTTTCTGTGTTTCTTCCTACTTGCCGGCTGAGAGGCTGCATTGGAGACAGCAGGTGATCTACTCTGCCTGCCAGGGACGCAATTTGCCCTGACAGACCTTCGACCAATGCCCTCATTTCAGCAACAAAACCAGCGTCGTGCGAGGATGGGTCCATAACAGGACCCAGCGCGGGCCCCATAGGAGGAAAGACTTCAAGGGGCACAGCCTCGCTGTTGCCGGTAAAGGTGGGAAACCCACTGTCTGAAAAAAACAGACTGTGTAGATGCCCTCCGATCAGCGGGGGGAGACCGAAACAAATCAGCACCCCCACTATCGGGCCCTTTGCTTGGTATCCCGGTATGAGAACCGGTAGCCGAGCGCGAGGACTTGTCATTCATGCCAACGCACAACTCACTCATACCCATGCCGGTAGCACTTGCCACCTGACCTTTTCGCGAACGAGCGACGCGGCCAGTCTCGGCTATTTTGACACGCTGCTGGAACGATTCCCAGGCTTCTGGACCCCAGCGATTACACATATTCTCTGGGCAGATACCCGAACCCCGAATGCAGGTGAAACAACGTTAACACTTTGAATGCGGGTTCCATTCCTGCAATTGCTGTGTACACTGAGTACAAATCCGCCTCATAAACTGAGGAGACAATACCGGCGGTGAGCCTCTGGCGTTGCCAGTGCATCTGTCCATTTCTAAATACATTAAAAATAAAAGACAACATGCATGAGGGAAACGAATTACAGTTGTAAAAGGTGCCGCCATGAAATCAACATGTGGTTACGTGGTGGCGCCGGGTTTGATTTCTTTGTTGTGGAAAAGCATAACACACAAAGGGAAAAACGACACGAGGGTAAAAAGACAAGAAAAACTTATCCTACCAGCTAGAATGTCGAATGCCGCGGCTGCGGCGGCGACCCACGCTAGAAACCCGGACGGGAAAAAGCAACAGAGCCAGGCAGAGCCGCTCAGAATCATTCCCCGACGAGGCGGAGAGAATTGAAGAGTGATGGACGGCTACCTATGGCGTTGTCATGTGGCATCGGTCACGTGGGTTCGTGACGCAAGGGGTAAAAGAATTTTGAGGTCATGGGGCTTCCTCTGACCTAGATTCTATCTGTCCGTCACCGGCAGAATCGCTGATTAATGCCTACAGTTCAAAAAAGTCATTTTGACTGACTGGAGTCTATGGTGGGTAATTGAACGTAGTGAATTGAATGTATTCCTGCACGTGTGATTTGTTTTTGCCTGGAAATTATTGTGCAGAATATTATTTGGAAAATACATGTGACTAGCTTATTCCGAGCTTTCAAGAGCTGTGGATAATTAAAATTCGTGCACAATAGACTGTGCGCAAAATATACACTCTTTTGTTAGGTTATTTATCGCATATTTCTCTAAGGTCTATGGTTATATTTAGACAAAAGTGTCATTACGAACACTGTTGCATCACTCTCGTCAGGCCAAGGGGAATGAGTCTATTTATTTATTATTGTAGTTTCAAGATTACACTTGTCTGGTCAGTTACGCGACAGTTTTTTTACGAGGCGTCCGTTTTGCTACGTCATAGGGGCCAAATTGCGTGATTATATAATTAATTGAACATGGCTGCTTCACGTCCCC